AATTAAATATATACATATAGTTTTTCACATTTTAAGGCTACAGACAAACAGCTGGTTTTCGCTTCTGTCGTGTCAAATATGTTAAGAGACACACACGCATTCACATCCACACAAAAGCATGCTTAAAATGGGCTCTTGTCTCGTTCTTCATAAAAATAAGAGTCTGCCGAGCGTTGGAGGTCATATTTTAAGCTTAATTAACTGTGTTTTAGCTCATCGTCTGGTTATAACGTTTTTGTGCAAGCTCTGAAGTTGCTATGGTAACTTTACTTGGATATCTTTTCAAAAATATTTAAAGCTGTGTTGTGTAACATCGCTGGCGGAGGGTTTGCCACTTGTTTTTCTCCATGGAGATGTTATTGTTTTGTCTGGAATGTCCCAGTATGTCATTAAACACATCCATCTTGCATTTATCGTATTTTTCAGACTAAGTCGCACTTTTTTTCATGGTTTGGGTGGTCTTGCAACATAGACTACACGGTGTGACTTACATATTAAAGGTTTCACACTGACAGCCGTGAGAGGTTCTAGTCTTGTGTGTCAGTATCTGCTGCTCCTGTTCCTCCTGTACCACTGTCACTTGGCTCTACTGCACATGTCTCCTGCAGAAAGAGCCTCTGTCCTGTCTGCATTTCATGTCAGTCAATCGCAACATTACTTCTGTAACATTGAACAATTATAATTTAAACAGATTTAAAACGACTGAGAAGACTGAACACAAATATCCTCAAAAGGAAAATCATATTTTGAAGATTACAAACTGCAAGTAGTGAAATCGAAAAAACAGTAATCGAGCAGCAGAAAGAAAGTTTAGAGTGAGCGAGAAACTTGTGACACTGGATGGATGGACAAAGCCTGGACTTCAGTGACACCAAAACCATCCTGTCGGGATTCAGAAAGGCCAGAATAATTCTAACTGGAACTGATTCTGAGTCTGATGACAGCGACACAGAAGAGGAAGTGGTCGCTCTGTTTACCTCCGGAGGTCGTGGAGTTGCTCAGAAGTGACACCGAGGATGAAGAATTGAATGGAGTTAGTGATTTGGAGTGAGATGGAGAGTTTGTTAAACTTGTTCTGTTCTGTTGTTTATGTTATAGTTTATCTGAAGAACTGTTCATATGTGAAGTTAACAGTCTGTTGTTCTCTGTTCTATTGTTATTACTAGAACTTGTCTTTCAAGATGAAATGTCGGTTCCTGGTCTCTGATTTTGTGAAGTAAATTTCACCCAGAAAGTGCGACTTAAATATGTTTTTCTTTTTTTTTCATAACAGATTCTTTGGCTGGTGCGACTTATACTCTGGGGCGATTTGTAGTTCAAAAAATACGGGACTCAATAACAGTTTTTTTTTTACTTAAAAACTTGTGTTTTTACTGTGAGTGGACACTCCTGCCTATAGATCTGACATGTAACTTGCCCCGTGGTGTCATCTGCTTTATAATGTCACACTGTGGAACATTCCAGGCAGTATCACCATGGAGAAAAGTCACACAATGCACCTTTTAAAATAGCTATACCGTTGTGATTGAGATTAGATTTGCGTTTTTTGTTTTAACACAAGAAATCTGTTCAAAGTTCACATTTTAAACAGATCCAAGAGCATTAGCATTTGACAAAAGACTCAATATAAGCCGCTTAACTAATTTTGTGCAAGCTGTGGAGTTGCTATGGTAACAATACTCAGTAACCTCCTTTTGGAAATTTGTTCTGTCAAATCCACTATTGGAATATGAACAATTTTACTGACAAATGCTCGCTCAAAATCCATAAAAAATACGTATTTAAGCTGTTAATAAAAGATCAAAAATGGAGCTGAGCTGAGTAAAGTCTGATTTATTATGTATAATGACTAATTTGGATGATAATGGACAAAAATCTGGAGAATTTTTAGAGGAACTGGACAATTTTGAATTAAAGAGCCTCTACCTGATTTAGAACACGAGTCAGGAACAAGTTTTAGTTTGAACTTTTAGCTCTGCCCACTTTGTCCTTTGTTGCGCTGTAGTATTGCACCATGACTCACAAACTAAAGTCTGGGATTGTGTCATGATGCCGTTGTTTTTGTTTTGGAGCTCAACAGGGAATTCCCACTTCCCAGTTCCGGAACATTTCCCAATCCCCCCATTCATTTTTCAGAGACTTTCCCAAAAAATTTAAATACGTAAATTAATTAAAAGTTTGAAATCTTGCTCAGGGCTAAACAGTTACGTGTTAAAGGTGCACTGCGTAACTTTTTGGTGAGAGTTTGTGACCTGCTTGTTTCTCTGGATTTGTCATTAGTGTGCTTCAAATGTTCCACAGTTTGACTTTAAACAGCTCTACCTTACATTTATTCAATTACAGGTGGTTTTATAGCTCAAAAATATCTAGAAAAACAACATTCTGACCAGAGCATGGAAACCCAACCGAAGTCTGACGGGATGTCGGCCATAAAGCATAAATATTGGCGATCAAGTCCACAGGAAGTAGAGTCACTACCGCTAATCTGCAGCTTCACCCTGATTTGTGCGCAGTGTGGATGTAAATAAACACACGTGGAACTACTCGCCTTTTTACTTTTAATGCTTCAAACTGGATTAAAGGTTGTATAGAGGATTTTCCAAGGAACGAGAAATCCAGCGACTGTTTGTCCTTTTTCAAATGTTGCGCATGCGTGAAACCACCCCCCCTCCCCTACAGCTCCCTACGTAGAAACGCCTCCTCCCTCCTCCTCCTTACGCCAGAAACAGGTTTGTTTACAGCCGGTGCTGCACATGACTTGTAAACAACTAACTACAGTGTTGGTTAGGCAAGACGGAGAAGTGAGGAGCCGGGGGGGGGGGGGGGTGCGCGGACATTTCGTTCGCGGTCGAGAAGAGCGGAGCAGGGAGGAAGAGCGGATCGGGCAGCGGGGAGAGGAGCAGGAAAGGGGTGCAGAGAAGGTTGCGCGGAGATTCAGTGCGAATGAACTAGCTACAACACACAGCAGCAAGCGGACTCTTTCTTTGCCTTGAAAATTACGTTTTCAGACATAGGATATCGCTTTCATGTCCTGAAAAACGTTTGACTAACTCTTGGAAATAAAGTACGTTTTCATAATAAGCAGAAGTTTCCTGTCCAGGAGTAATTTGTGGACCAGTGCGTCAGTCTTTAGACCCTGCGTCTGCTTCAGTCGCGCCATCGCTGGAATGAATCTTCAAGAATCACCTTAGTTTGGCTTCGCTGCTTTTCCCCTTGTCTTCTTCTTTCAGCGACCTCAAAAACAGACTTTCTTTTGCGGCGAACTGCTCCTGGATTCTTGTCGCCATTGCAACAAACTTTGTGCGAACTGCGAGGAAGATATAGGTCAAAAAAAGCCGCTAAGAACTGTTGCGTTGGTGGAGTAAACAGCGTCTGTGCGTCTTGCGTCTGTGGACTGCGTGACAGTCGTACGTAAACCACGTACCGGTGGCGCAGGCAAGTCAGTTACGCTAGAAAACGTAGGGAGATTTGATTGACAGCCTGTCAGCTCACAGATAACGAGGCAGTGTCGTTATCTATTGGCAAATGTTTAGCCCCACCACGTCCAGAGTTGATGAATTTTTATTCTCTTTTTTTTGGTCATCATAATTACAAGGCTACTGCACCTCTATAATCTATCATTGACAATTTGAAACAAAAAAAAATCCTCCATACAACCTTTAACAGAGCGGTTTTGTGGACTTGGTGTCATTATTTGTAGAGGACAATTTCTATGGATAATGTGGCACTTTAAATTTGCCATTTTACGAAAGGCGAGTCATAAAGTCTTATTATTTTCGCCATATCCCGAGTTTGTATTTTGCGTCTCTGTGTCCGTGTGTATTGTTGAGGAACACAAACAATATCCTACATGTGTTATTAGACCTACGAAAATATTGTTATTTTAATTGTGTCGGGCTCGGGTCGGATTCAATCACTGCTCTGTCGGACGTGAGCCGGGTTCGGACAGAAAAATTCGTCCCTATCCACACTCTAATTCTGACTCTGGGTAGGGCTGCCTCTCCACAGATCTGACCTGTAATTTCTGGTTTGGTCTCCATGAAGATAGAAAGGTTTAATACTATACTGTGGAACCTTCCAGATAAAAAAACAATGACATCTCCATGGAAAAAAGCGTTTGATTGACCCTCCACCAGAAAAGTTGCACAGTGCGTCTTTCACTAATGAACACAAGACCTTTAACTTTATTTAAAATCTATTTCTGAAACTTTATAAACCACTAAGTTATTAAAGCAACTGGTGAATTTTGTGTTTGAAATTAGTTTTTTAGACTTAAAACAACTGCATTATGTAGCTCCGTAGCTTCTATTTTAGTTATTACCTGAGAAAATGCGATGCAAAATGAATACTTTATACTTTACATTTCATCATTACCTCCGCCAAGGAGGTTATGTTTTTGCTGGCGTTTGTTTGTTTGTTTGTTTGTTTGTCTGTTAGCAACATAACTCAAAAAGTTATGAACCGATTTTGATGAAATTTTCAGGATTTGTTGGAAATGTGAAAAGGAAGAACTGATTTCATTTTGGGGGTGATCCGGAAGAAATCCTGGATTCTGGATCACTTTGAAATTTTAGTTAACATTGTGGTAAATGGGGCCAAAAATTTTGTTTCTCAATATCTCGGTTAATTATTGACCAAACCCCATGAAATTTGACTCAGGGATGGACAATGTGATCCTCTTTCATATTCCAAAGGCTGATCCGGATCTGATCCAGAAGACTGATTTTTATCGCAATTTATATAAAAAATGGGGGTAGTCCTTGGCGGAGGTCTGCGCTCTCTGAGTGCTTTTCTAGTTTTGTCTTTTTTTGTTCTTATTTAGCACCTTTTACCATAAAATCCATATTTAAAGGTTTTTCCTGTTTTCTTTTGGTGTCAGTAATCGTGAATTAATTATAAAATTATTTCGTAACATTAAAAATCATGAAATCCCTATAGTTTTGAGATACTCTATTCAATACCAAGACTAAGAAGCCCAAGACTAGTTCCACTCGCCTGGGAAAAAAAAAAGAAAAAAGCGTAATATAAGAGCTACTACGATAACACTCCCATTCACACGTACAGATTGCACACTTGTCACTTATGTCTGTATTTCCGTTGGCGTCATGGTAAAGCCGTAGCCTCTAACCGCGCGATGTCCAGAGGGTCCTTGGCGATGCCGCTGCACGTTTTGGCTATTTTGAAGTTGCCGTGGTAACCGGGAGGACTGTCCAAAATGGAGGGGCTGGAGATGGACGTGACGATGACAGATGCTTTATTGGCCGCTGGTCTCTGAAGTGTGTCAGTCTGTGGAGAAGGAAAAGGTAAAAGTCAGTATAATTTTCAAGACTATATATATATTCAGTTTTTTTTTCTGTTCCCGTGTGTGTTTTTAAAATAATCACCAGTTTAGAACATAGATTAAAGGTCCAGTATTATGCAGAATTGGCTTTTCTGACGTTTAAGCCATGTTAGAATGCGTTTACCTCCTCAAAAACATCTGGAGTTGTATTGTTTCATTCACGTGTTTGACTGGCTGCTGCCGATGGAGCTGCTCAAACTCCCATTTCCCATTTTTTTTGTGCTTTATTTAACCAAAATATCATGATTAGTGCAGCGACACCACAGAGAGCATGATGTTTATAGACGACATAGGAGCAGTTGGACTCCAGTTAAGTCCTGCCTTTACCAGACTGGTTGTGTGACTGAATGGATAGGCTGTATTAGGGGTCATCAAACTAAGGCCTGTGGGTCGACTCCTGCCCACCACGTCCCTTTAACTGCCCCCCAGCTCCTCTGCCCCCATCACTTGAACTGGCCATATGAGGCAATCCTCGAGTTGTCATGGCCTATTTTTTTTTTATTACTTTTTGGCAAATAATAACACATCTGCATCTTGTATTTTTGTTGACTTTTTTTAAATAAAAAAATTAATTTGCTGCCGAATTTTCGTCACCTGAGTTCTGTCGTGCAGTTAAGGACAGAAAAATGGTGAGTGTTAAAGTATGAAAAGTTGACAGAGAGTGCCGAGTTTTCAAAGAACAGTGGACAACCAGTAATTTTTTTGTTCAAGGACCGTGCAGTTTGTCTGATCTGTAAAGAAAGTGCGGCGGTTTTCTAAGAAAACGTCAGGGTCGTACAATTCTGTTATACAGTCGACCCGACCCTGGAACCCATCACGGTCAGGAGCGATAATGTGGCTCCCAGAAAAAAAGTTTGGTGACCTCTGGGCTATATTCTCTGCGTTGCGTCCGTTCACCCTCATCACCTTCACCGAAAAAGTGGAGACCAGATGACGTTGCTATTTCGAAGTGACATAAAAAAAAAAAGATGGCGCGGCATAACAGCCTGGAAATGGAAGCAGAAGAGTTTTGGTAATTTTACTTCAGTTTGGCAATTCAGAGGAAGCAGCAATGTCATCGTAGCTGCTGTGGTGTAAGAGGAAAGTTGTGGCAAAGGGACGAGGCGACAGGAATCATGCTGACAAGGTTGGCAAAGTCATCGCCAGGCCATCGTAAAATGGCGACGCCTGCACCGTTAAAAACTGAAAATTATAGTCATATTAGTAAAAAGAATTTGAGCACCATATTTTTGCTGAGTAAGGTTTTTGGAAAGAGGAAGGATTTAATTGCCTGGCCCAAGTTGCCGCCTGGTCTCAAATAAAAGCCTGGTCTGTTAAACGATTGAAACAAATAAACGCCCTGGCTATTATTTGGTATTTTACGGTAGTGTAATATGGCCACGGTGGAACTTTAATGATCCAGAGTGCTGCTTTCACCTGCCTCTTTCCGTGGTGGTGTTATTGCATTGCCCGAAATGTTCCACAGTAGGTCTTTAAACTTCTCAATCTTCCATTCCAGGTCTGATTTTACTGCAAAGAATATTTTACTGTGAGCAAGCTTGACTCAAAAGATCTGACTTGTAATTTGGTCGGTGGTGTTTCCTTCTCCCTGCTTTTCTCCTTGCAGATAGAGAAGTTTAATGCTCTAATGTGGAAGATTCCAGACAGTAACATCTCCATGGAGACAGATAGCAGACCATTCAGAAGGAACAATCCGAGTGAGTCCCGCATATGTTGTCTTGCTGTGGGCCAACAGAGAGGCATATTGGCAGTTATCATATCGCAAAGACTGCAAATTTTGAAGTACCATAATTTCCTTCTTTCTTATTCTGCATAAAAAAACTGCTCACCCTGTAGTTTTATCGGCATAAACCAGTTTTATTATTCTTGAATTAGTTTCTCAGTTCATTTCTCAGTATTTTAAGGCGTCCATATTATGCTGTTTTCTAATTTATGTTATAATGTTGTTTCCTCATCACAAACAGACCTGGAGTTGTGTTTTGATGTACATATTTTCACACAAACCACTGCAGTAGCCTTGGTTGCACACAAGTTCTTCTCTCAAAAGAAAAACTTCGTCTTCCATCTACCTTGTGCATTATCCATCCTGGTAATCACAAGAAGTGCCCACTGTGTTTTCAAACTCCATACACACTTTCCTAGAATCACTTGGATCATTTTCGCCATCGAATCGTCCACTGCGACGTCATCACTAAAAAAAACACAGTTAATAATAAAATATTAATTTCCTAATTCCCTTTTGCTGCTACAGGCACACCAGATTATAAGGGCCATTTAATTTACTGTATTTTTCTGGGTTTTTCATAATTTTGTTGTTATCAGACTTTATTGGGTTTTAAGGGTGAAAACCCACATTTCTTGGTTAATTGGCTTGGGGGAGGAGTCATGGGGGATAAAAGAGCTTTGGCCACTCTCCCTCCCTCAGTTTTAAACCTGGACCTGGAAGAGGAAGGTAAGATAACAGAAATTTAAAGCCACTTTTGCTGGTGTGTTTGTATATATATTGTAAATACTTTTTCTTGTTTCACTTTTTGTTGTATAGCACTCATCAAACTTTCTTTATTTGGGAACACTAATTAAACACTCAAAAAACATCCTTCTGACTACGCCATCGTTATTACAATAAGATAGAACCCCATCACAATCAGTTCGGGGTCAGTACAACCAGAATTAATACATAAGGCGCACTGTTGATTTTAAGTGTGCCTTATAGTCTGAAACATATGGGAACTTGAAAACTACCGCTTCATGACATCAGAAGTTGGAGCAGAGCATTTTGAGCTTTGAAGATGCAAACCGACTAAATAAAGAGTTGCTCAAACATGTGCCGTTTTGTTTTATTCACACATGTTTGAGTAATCCTTTATTATTAGTATGTTTACATCTCCAAATCTCAAAATGCTCTGCTCCACCTTGTGATGTCACGAAGCGGTAGTTTTGGCGGTCACCAGAAGTTTTTGTAAATATAAGTGCCATGGTAAACCGAAGATGAGGTACAGTTAGATGTGTATTATCCAGTTATCAGTGCACAAAATTAGGCATAAAAATGATACATTTACAAAGGAAATAGGCATTTAATCAAGCAAATTTGAGTTATTCAACACAAAACGTATAATTCAGAAATACCTTCACGAGCTACTTGGAAGGTACTGGAAGCTCCTGAGCTACAGGTTGGAGACTCCTGCTCTAAAAGGTACATTTACTAAATTCATCTGTATTATTATCCTCGAAAGCAGGAGTCTCTTGTAACTCGAGAGCTGCCAGTAGCTCTCCACCCCTTTATAAGTAGGTATTTCTGAGTTATACGTATTGTGCTGAATTATACGTATTGTGCTGAATAAATAAAATTTGCTTGATTAAATGCCTATTTCCTTTGTAAATGTATAATTTTTATGCCTAATTGTGTGCACTGAAAACTGGATAATAGGTTATCTTTTATTGGCATCTAACAGTACCTCATCTACAGCCTGTTTTAGTCCTGGTTCAGTCCTGGTTCAGTCCATATGTGGCGCAAAAGTCCGGCATCGCAGTTTAAGTCACGGAAACGGGAAACGGTTGTATTCCTTTTTTTCCATTATTCATTTAAACACTAAATTGAAAACTAAAAAAAAACAAATCGTTATCTTTTTTTTCGTTTTGGTTTTGGAGACAAATAATGAAGAAAAGAGTTATTTTTCATTTTTCTTATTTTTGGTTTTATTTTGAAAAACAAATGGATTGAGGTCGATCCGGGCGGAGACTCTGCTCGGTCCTCCGTTAAATTTTAGCTCGCACACACAAAGTTCCCTTGCACATACAACATTTATGGAACACGTATCACATCACAGTTTTGAATGGTAGTGCACTATGCGTAAGGGAAAAGTGGTATATGTGTGTGGTTTTTGAATGTGCATGTGCAAGACAAAAGTGAAGTAAAAATATGCAAAGTAAAATGTGTGTGAGAAAGTAGTGGTGTGTGTGCAAAATAAAAGCTGTACGTTTGTGAGTTTTTGACATGTATGTGCAAGACAAAAATGGTTTATGTACAAACTATTCATTACCATATGCAAGAAAATTTGGTGTATGCTCAAGCTTTTCATGTGCATGTGCAAGGAAAAGTAGTCCATGTGTACGTGTGACCTATTCCTGATGTATGACCAAGGGGGCGCCTCATACACAAGAGTCAGTTTTGCATAATATAAGACCTTTAAACAGTGTTTCCATATCCTTTAGCCTTAATATAGGTTAATGAAATGCTGACGTGATTTGGATCCATGAGTTTCCCACTATCCCGGATCAGAGGCAGTGAACCGTGAGGTCGGGTCCTCGTTTCACCGTCACTCAGAGGAGGCTGGACTCATGTGACCCTCTCAGTCTATACCGGTGTAGTGATTGCGTTGTGATTGAATCGATGTGACAACAAATAAAGAGGGTAGGAGCTCCAAAACCACAATTTCAGTGGTTTTAAAATGTGAGTAATGGGATAGGACAGAGAAGGGCAAACTGCGGCCCTTTAAACCTTTTAATCTGGCCTGCCGAACTTGAATAAATTTTAATAATAAACCTTGTTAATGTTTTATTTTTTCTGCAATTCTGGCATTTCCCAGTAGAATACAATGACCTAAGTAAGTAAGTCCCTATTTATATAGCGCTTTTCACAGACATTTTTTGTCGCAAAGACACTTTACAGAGCATAATTCATTTACGCTATACCTGATGGTAAGCTACTGTTGTAGCCACAGCTGCCCTGGGGCAGACTGACAGAAGCACAGCTGCCATGTTAAACATCGCCATCAGTCCCTCCGACCACCACCATCACCGTCATACAAGGAAATGTGGGTGAAGTGCCTTGCCTAAGGACACAATGATTGAATTGTATTTAACTGACCTTGACTACCTTGTTTCTGGAGACCTGTAGCATGTTTTTTGGGGGGTTGATGGGGGAAACAGGAGCACCCGGAGGAAACCCATCCAGACACGGGGAGAAACATGCAAACTCCACACAGAAAGGCCCAGGCAACCTGGGGATCGAACCCAGAACCTTCTTGCTGTGAGGCATGAGTGCTAGCCACTCAGCCACCGTGCATTCACGAGGTCTCGAAAGATCCGACTTGCCGAGTTGTTTTTCTGACATCAGGGGTGTTCATATGAATTTTCCCAGTGGGATAGTCATTTTTCCAATCATTCCGACACCACATGAACGCATCCTGAGAATCGCCACAACAAAACTAACTCCAGACTTTGATGCGCTGGTTAAAAAAGTGACACCAACAACACTGTTCCCACTGAAATTAAAAGTAAGTTTCTCTGCTGTGATGTAAAAAATGCATTTACGTGTTACATGTCATGTTTTGTTCAGGTGTGCATGTGAGAGGTGTGCACATGCACATAAGTTCTCATTATAAACACGACCTTGCGCTGGTCATTGTTGAGTTTTGGCACTGGGGACGCACATTGAACAGAAGGAGCAGGACAAGTAGATTTGCATCTCCTACCGTTTTTGAAATAAAGATGATGATGATAATATCCTGAAGGAGAACAGAACTTTCAGTGCTTTAGTAACTGTTAGTCTTTTTTTTTTCTTTTTAAAAAAGCTGTATTTTATTAATTAAATTTTCAGAGTGTTAAGAGTAATTTCAATAAATAGTAAATACTGAGGGACTTGAAAGACACATATTTTGTTGTAATGCTTTGTAATGACTTTCAATTGAAATTCAAGCCCAGGTTTTCTACATATTCCTTGTTTTTTTTTCTCTCTCTCCATCCCATCTGCTCCTGGTCTGGCTCTTCCGTCAAATTTTAGAACCCTTTGTGGCCCACGAGCCAAAAAGTTTGCCCACCCCTGGGTTAGACCAGGACTTGGCATTTAAGGTGCACTGGGTAACATTTCTTCTAGTGGAGGGTTCATCTGCTTATCTCCATATAAATGTTATTGCTTCGTCTAGAATGTTCCACAGTATAGATTAAACCTGTCTATCGCGAGGGAGACAAGCAGGTTACAGCACAACACTACGTTACAGGTCAGGTCTGTGGAGTGTCGGTCTGTGGAGTGTCGCCCCGTTCACAGAAGGAATTATTGTATTTTTGAGTAATAGAAACATGATGGATGTGTTTAATGTCATACCATGGAACTTTCCAGGCAAAGCAATAACATCTCCATGGCGACAAGCAAGTAGTGGACCCTCTGCCAGAAAAGTTGCGCACTGCACCTTTAACTGTGGCCAATTTGTCCATTTTGTCCATTTTAATTTGAGCTAGAAACAGAGGTCTAGTCACTTTTTATTGAGAATTAAAATGATACACTTATGTGGTAGACAGGTAATTAATTCATTCCAAGGACTTTTTCCAATTCAAGAGATTTTATTTTAGATTTTTTTTTTTTTTTTTTTTTAGTAGGGCTGTATAATTTTGAAAAGGCGTACTTGAGATATTTTAACAAGCATTATGATTAAATTAGTCATTTATGCTTTCAGAAACAAATTCGGTTCAAAGTTCAGATTTTAAACAGAATCATTAACACTCAATAAACTAAGTATGAGCTGCTTAACCAATACAAGAGACACATGCATTTCAGAACATATTTGAAGAGCTCTAAACTACAGGGTTAACAAGTTTATTTATACACGGCAAGATGAAATGGAATAGTTTGCAGAAAAACAACATTTTAAGACCAGAATGACGAGGCTCACAGCAGCAGTTACAGTTTTTCAATGTAAGTCAGTAAGAGCCAGTGTCAGAAGGAGCCAGAAGAGCCTGCGTGTGAACTTCCTATTTGGGCTATTAGATATATTTATTTTATAGAGGATAGTGCCAATTCAATCCAATTGCGATTAATCTTGCTGCCCTATTTGAAATTGTTCATTTCTATGGTAATGTGGTGAAAAGAGAAATCCAATTTGTCAACTGGACAAAAGTTTATTTGGTTGAATAAATTTCACAGCTCATCCAGACTGCTTCTTCAGTTCTGGTCAAAAGTCTGGTGGACACTTCCTTATATCTGCCTGAAGAGAGGAGCTAACTACAAAGAAACTACTCTGAAACTAACACTCACACTTGTTTACAGCTTATTGAACTTGCACTGAGTGTGGGGTCTTATTGGCTTAATTATTCAGTCCAATGAGGTTAATTTGGTCTTTCGATAATTGTTATTAGGCTGTTTTTTTTCAGACCAAGAGTTTGTTTTTATACCTGACCGTTTTGACTGCTCACTGCGGGCTTCCGCGGTGTTCAGGTTATGTTACTATGACATTTCTGGTCAGCTGATTTATACAGGTTTTGGAGCCTTCTTCCTACCGACGGAGGCAGGATGACAGCACCATCTGCCTGAAAACCTGTTTCGCAACATCATGTGACTCTAAGGAAGAGCGCTAGTGAGCAGTCAAAAGGGTCAGGTATAAAAACAAACTCTTGGTCTGAAAAAAGAACCTAATAATAAAATATATATCCTTCAGGCCTATAAAGGGTGCTTTCACACCTCTGGGCCTGACCTGGCTATATCCCTATTGTTCTGTTTGTTTGTCTTTTTTTGTTTTGATTTAGGTCTGAGGATGGAGTTGTAAATAGGAGATAGTTGATGTCTGACTCCTCCAGTTCTGTTCAAAGATGGATCAAAAATCGCTTCTTTAACTCCCTTCTCAAATCAGTTGTTTTTTCTAGCTAAGATCTGTACCTTTCTGTCCTCAGAGGAGTGGCCTGAGGCTTTTAGATGGAGATGAACAGCAGACTGAGGTCCTGTGTTGCTCTCTCGTCTGTGCTGGTACATCCTCCTGTGAAGTGGCTGTTTTTTTTCCTCCAGTGTAGCGTTCACTGCAGTCTTCACTTGACTGAATGGAGAAAACCACATTGCTTTGTTTGTGGCTCGGTGTTTTGTCCTTTGGGTGGATCAGTTTCTGTCTTGAAGTGTTTGTAGGTTTGAAATAGACTGGGATTTCACATTGTCTGAAAATCCTCTGTAGTCCTGGGTTTTAATTCTTTGTTATCCGTTTTGATTTATTTAAAGCCCATTTTGGATATCCACAACCACTTTGACTTTGACTTATTTATTTTAACTGTGACAACATAGAGTGTAGTTATGGCACCGCTGCACAGTATTGTGTCTGTGTGCAGTGTAGTGCAGACTCACCGCTGCAGGGAGGAGGCTGGTCGGCTGGAGACTCAAATCTGACAGAGAGATGTCTTCAGTGTCCGTCACACTCTACAAAACATAAACACAATACACATGAGACCTGTCACTGTTTTCATACAGACAAACCTGCTACTCATAATATTAGACAGTATAATATAAGTAACGGCAAAAGGTTAAAGATGCACTATGCACGTTTTTAGTTGGATGGTCTGAACCGAAATTTTCTCCATGATTACAGTCTGTTGATACTGTACTGTCAGGGGTGTAGTGGGCGTGTTACGTGGGTGTACGCTGTCCACCCACTTCTCCCAACGTGAGATATAGAAAAATAACAAATATAAAAAAAATAGTTACAACTTAAATGTCAAACCGGAGCTACTGACAAAAGTGAAAACAACCTGCATGGGCTCATGATATCTGCACTACTGTCCTATAGAGACCTGAGACATGAGGGACCAGGACTGCACCAGGACTGAACCAGAACTAAACCAGCAAGGACTAAATCAGGACTGAAACCAGGACTGAACTAGCCAGGACTAAACCAGCCAGGACTGAACCAGGACTAAACCAACCAGGACTGAAGTAGCCAGGACTGAACCAGGACTAAACCAACCAGGACTGAAGTAGCCATGACTAAACCAGGACTAAACCAGGACTAAACCAGGATTAAACCAGGACTGAGTGTCTGGATAGGCCGGGAGGTGCCCCAGTATAGACCATCGAGGCGCTGAGTTCCGCACCTCACAGGGCTAAACGCAGAGGTCGCCCAGTTGCGTTTCGCTCCGCCGTCTCAGGGTTCTCTCTCTTGTTCTCAAGTCCAAGATTAGTCCTGTTTTAGTCCTGGTTCAGTCCTGGTTCAGTCCTGGTTCATGTGTTGTAGTCTATGATTTATGTTCTGTAGGTGATTATAAACGGCGTTAATGTTAATATCATGATTCCTCCTCATTTTGAGTAAAAACAAATCAAATATTAGGGATTTTTACTGAGTTGGTGCCTTTGTTTGTTTGAGGGCGGGATTCGTCACATTACTGACATCATGAACTGTGTCCCCCCCAATTAAAAAATCCCCACTACACCACTGTATATTGTGGAACGTCCCAGGCAATGCAATCATATTTGTTACATGTTAGAATGCTGCCTTGCCCCAAAAAATACCTGGAGTTGTGTTAGTCTGTCTACATTTCCAAAGCTCAAAATGCTCTGTTCCAACTTTTACCTTTAGTTCAGTCGAGATCGGCACTTCCAGGTCTGAAATTATGATTCTAGTGAAGGTGCATGGAGTTTAAAAACACAGTGGAGCGCTTCCTGTATTACCACATGACATCACAAGTTAGAAGAGAAGGTTTTTGTTTTAGTTTGAGAGAAAAACTCAGCCTAAATATGCAGGGTTTGTGTGTTGAAATGAGGAAACAACATTATCAGACATAACATAGATCAGAAAATAGCGTAATATGGACCCTTTAAGAATACCCAACACGTATATACTGGACTCAATACTTTACTTACTTACTTTCAAAACATCCTCTTAAATTTTTGCTTGTAGACAATACAGTGGCCCACTTTTACACTAGACCGTTACATAAGTGCACCACATATTCTCCTAAAACTATGTCAATTACTCCACAGTGTTTAATGGGACACTTCCGTCTCAGTTTAATCATCTTTAACGGGAAAAACGCTCTTGTAACGCAGCCGCCGAGTGCGTAAACTACACGTGTTTAGCCGATAGCAGAGAGGGTCAGGTCGTGCGGTGGAGACTCTATTACACGGAGCCGCTGAACCTAATCCCATAATCCAGCGCTCTGAGGCCCGTAATCTGGGACTCGTGTTGGACCGGTCTGAGTTCACCCACTGTACTGAAGTCCGCGGGATCACAGCTTTCACTGTAGCGCGCTTCAACTCAGCCAGAACAAGTGTTAATAATGAAAACAGGAATAGAACAGTAGAAGGAGAGTTTTAAAGGGCCTGGGCAAAGTTTGTCTTGCCTCCGTATATAGATATATTTTATAAGCAGCTCTCGAGGTTAAAATAAGTCTGCGTACTGTCTGCTCTCATGGTAAAGCATTTTATCGTCAAATAATCAGGAAGTGCGCTTTAGCATGCTGGTTGTTTGCATTACAGTCACCGCAAAACTCCACACTGGTTTCTGATAGTTGTGAAAAGTGCTTATAAATTCATCATAGTGAAAAATTTGGATCTTTAGAATGAAAATAATAAGTGAGGAATAACTTTGGGCCACTGCAAACTATTTAAAAGTAGTTCTGTTTTTCACATTTTTAAGACAGTAAAAAGCAAGTACAGCACCTTTTTTCTTATTAATGTTGTAGAGTTTAAAGCCTAAATTGCTTTATTAAGTATTGTAGTGTAATGTGTTGTTTGGTTTGAAGAAAGTAACTGCTCTGAGAAAACAAAATGAAAGAGTAACTGTACCAAAATGCAGTTCAGTTCAAATTTAGTATTTTGAGTACCGTAATTTCCGGACTATAAGCCGCTACTTTTTTCTCACAGTTTGAACACTGCGGCTTATACAATGATGCGGCAAATATATGGACGGATTATTTGTTTGGCATATTGTCCATTCACATATACGGTGTATGGCAGGGGTGTCCAAATTTTTTTCATCAAGGGCCACATATCTAAACACAGACGAAGCAGAGGGCCGATCAAGGGCCGTAGACTGGAGCTCAATACAGTGAATAATTAAAATATGTGCATGTTTAACACTTTAGAATGAGCCATCAGTCTTTATTCATGCTAAGATCCTTAAAACCCACACAAAATATTAAATATTTGCTTTATCAACGTAGATTTTCAAAAAACTTGCAGTAAAAAGTTAATTTTTAATTGGTGCAAGGTCATTTGGGCCAGTTCACCTGGAAGTGTGAGGGTGAAGAAAAATATGTCTGAGGGCCGCATTTAGCCCACAGGCCGTAGTTTGGACATGCTTGGTCTATGGATTTGGCAACACAGCAGATGCGCGCAGCCTGAGAGCAGAAAACGCCGCTGTCTGTGCGGGTAACACATGGATCTAGGGTTCACATGAAGCGATGTTGTCTATGCACTCAAATAGTTTATTGCCATGTGATAAAATAAGTTATGATGATAAGTTAACATTAGTGAGGGGGATACGTCTTAATGACCCGTATGCGTTAAATGCAGGTGAGTCCCCGGGCTGTCTGCAGGAGACATGACACCAGGAAGGACAGCGGCTCTTTCTGCAGGAGACATGTGCAGCAGAGCCTGAAGTGATGGGGGTACAAGAGCGAGACAGACAGGTGGAAGAGATGATGATGGAAGAGATTTAGATGCTGTTTGATTGTGTTTTGAATTGTTATTTTGCGCTTCATGCACACATCCTCCTCATGGAAAATACACGAAGAAATGCAGATAATACAACGTTTAAGTTAAAGTCAATTGATGTGGCTGCGGAAGAAGGAAACAGAGCTGCTGCACGTGAGCTCGGCATCAGTGAGTCGATGGTGAGATTTTGACGACGGCAGCGTGACTCAATGCAAAAAGACGACAAAAACTTTCAGAGGCGATAAAAGCAGACGGCCCGAACTTGAAAATGTTCTTGAAGACGTGGACACCTGCAGCTTTTATTCAGGTGCGCTCAATAGTCTGGTAAGTATTTTTGGTACATATCCAGCCTTTAGTTACTTTCTAACACTGAACACGATGATGTTACCAATGGTTCAATGCGTCCGTATATTCTTCCATTGTGTCCTTGAGAAAGACGCTTCACCTGATAATTTTACAGGATCCCTGGGTTCCTTGTTAAATGCGTCAGATTTCTCCAAGTGCTACATTTTATTTAACTTTTTTCAACTTTATTTGCTTAGTTATGAATAGAGCCCGACCGATATATCGGTTGGCCGATATTATCAGCCGATATGGGAAATATGTCGACTTTGAGGCTAGTTTTGGTCATTTGTTATGGGTTAGCTGCTGTAGCTCTCGCACATAAACAGGCTGTTTTCTATTGGTCTATTGTAAAGTGATTACATTGGCCGTATATTTGTTACTGGACCTGCATTGATATGTAAATGAGCTGTGAATAGACTTGTGAATTATGACATTTGCGCATATAATTACCGCGGCGCGCACGTATTTACGGCTAAAGGCTAATAGCGCTACTTTCTTTACTAGTTATGGGTCCGTCGCGAACGAAATGACTTAGAGCCGGCTCTTTGAAGCGAACGACGGGAGACTGATCCTTATTGGGACGTATATGTTTTCTCTTTCTCTTACTTTTTTTTCTCGTCACGCCGCTTGCAGACTCGTGGTAGTTTGACAGCGGCTGAAAACGAAACTTTGAGAAATTTGCGTGTACATAGGATTAAAAAAAACGAGCATATTTGGCTGTAGTTTAGCATAAAAGAAATAAGTCCCGGGTTTAGTCCTTTTTCAGTCCTGGTTTAGACCTGGTTCAGTCCTGATTCAGTCCTGCTTTAGACGTGCTTTAGCTTGCAACAAAACAATCTGAAGAGCCGCTTGGGAGCCAAAAGAACCAGCAGCTTTTAGTGAGCCGAGCCAAAAGAGCCGGTTCTCTAAAAAGAACTGGAATACCCATCACTAGTGTCTAGAATGTGATGCAAAAATGCCATTAAGCCAACCTACTGTCTGTAAATATGATGTAAAGAGGCAGAATAACAATAAATGTTGCCTAAATAAACCCAATTTAAAATCCACCAAAGCCAAACCTAAGTTTTTTAAACAATTCAACATTTACAGTGAATTTTTACATCACTAAATATATCGGCGATTATATCGGCTATCGGCAGCTTCAACTCCCATTTTATCGGTTTCATATCGGCCACAGCAAAATCCATATAGGTCGGGCTCTAGTTATGAACCAGTGGCCCTCGTTCCATAATACGTTTTGGATGTGACCATTGATAAAGATGTCAAAAAAAACAACATAAAATAAACTGGTTCATGTTCATGTACAAAGAAGATTGAGTAAAGTGCTGCACTTACTGATATCTGTGAAAGCTGACACATGCTGAGGTCCGAGTTGTCATATCCCGCTTGTTTGTCCGCTCCGTAAACTTTCAACCTCGACCTTTGGCTCTGCCGCCGCACCTGTCTGACCTCCGCAGAGCCCTGTCGACTGGCCGAGGAGGGCGCGGACAAGTCGTCTTCCGTATCCGAAAACCTCGCCTGAGAGAAAAACAAAAAAACGACAACCGAAAACCTCAAGTTAATCCTCAAAATGTGTAGCGTTCCTCACAGTAAGTGTTAAGACAGAGACATACCCTAGTATATATGAAGGGCACTCACTGAATCGCTCTCAGACAGGGAGGACGGGATTTTGCTGGGATGCGTGGATTCTGATTGGCTGGCCATGGTGGAGCGCCGCGTGGACTGGAAACTGCTGCTGGTGAAGCGGTCTCTGGGCCTCATGCACAACAGAGCTCCGAGGTAGGGCACGTAACGGCTGATGGCAGATCTGAAAGAGGAAGACAAATATGTTTACTAATGCGCTAAAAACTAAAATCTCAACAAGTGAAAGGTGCGTCGTGTAACTTTTTCAAACGCTTGTCTTCATGGAGATGTTATTGCTTTGTCTGGAATGTTTCACAGGATGATATAAACTATAAACCTTTGTATTCTTGACCGGAGAAAAGTTTTTAATTAAGTAACACTGGACCAAAATTCCCGTTTAACCCCGATATCAAGAGTTATATTAACGAGAGTAAACAGATAAAACATTGAACACTGTAAACACAAATGAATCACCTGAACACAAAAAAATTTTGGCAATCGATTACCTCAATTATTTTAAGCTGATGAACTTAAAAGTCACAATTTTTCAGAACTTAAAAGGTCGGATGCTTGCTACTTGTACTTTTTAATAACGGCTGAATTAAACTCGACTCAAAAATGTGCAATATAATTATTAATATGACTCATAGTTTTCTGTTAAAGGTTGTATGGAGGATTTTTTTTTTTTTGTTTCAAATTGTCAGTGAAAGATTAAAATACCATTACAGAGACGCAGCAGCTTTGTAATTATGATGACCAAAAAAAAAAGAACGAAAATCTATCAACTGTGGACGTGTTGAGGCCAGATAAACATCAGCCAATAGAAAACGAGGCTCCCTCATTTTCTATTGGCTGTTAGATTGTCAATCAAACTCCCTAGTATAACTGACTCGTCGGAGCGCGGGGATTACGTGGTTTACGCAGCGGTTCTTAGAGGCATTTTCGAACTGTCGCTTCCTCGCATTTCGCACAAAGTTTGTCGCGACGGCGGACGAGAATCCACGACCGGTTTCGCCGCAAAAGAAAGTCAGTTTTTGAGGTCGCTGAAAGAAGAAGAGAAGTGGAAAAGTAGCAAAGCCAAACTGAGGTGATTCTTGGAGATCTCGTCCAGCGATGGCGCGACCGAAGCAGACGAAGGGTCTAAAAACTGACGCGTCGGTCGCTGAATTACTTCTAGACAGGAAACTTCAACAGTAATTCTGAACGCGCACAAGGACTGTCGCTGTATTTCTCTTCCCTTAAAAAAATCCTCTATACAACCTTTAAGGCAACTCAATTATTTTAATTTATCACGACTTAAATTTAGGAGTTTTTAAACCACTGGAATAAGTTCAATTATTTGGTGAAGCACTTTGAAATTGTATTGTATTTTTGCATGTACTACATAAATAAAGTTGTTTTTGTTTTTTTTATCACCCCTACTTGAAGCAGGACTTTATCATTTGCAGTGTTTAATTACTTCAGTCTGCTAAGTTGTACCTCTTCTATTCTTGCTTATACCCACAATAGTTCCCTTTAATTAAAAAACATATATACAACATCGTTAAAATTACTCAAAAAGAAGAACATGTCACAGCAACTTGACATAATTAAGTTAGTAGGACTATTTCTAAAACTTTGAGGATACACAACTTAATCTATTTAATTACTTTGAACGTTCGGGTTTACAGGGTTATCCTAATTTAGCTAAACAACACACAGAGATGTTTAATTTTTACACTTAATTTTGTCTTAAATTAACTAAAATAATGTGCAAAACTGGTTCAAACTGGTCTTCTCTCGCGGGAGGTTGAAGTGTTGGGTGGGAGGTGCCAAATTTACACTAAGGGAAGCTGAATATCAACTCTGATAAATAACCCCAACTCAAACCCCCATTTAACTTTCAAATAGTTAAAATAACACTTGTGTTTGTATTAAAAACAGATCTGAACTGAAGAAGCAGCTTGGATGAACTGGGAAAGGTATTCGACCAAATAAACTTTGTTGTTGACAAACTGAATTTTTCCTTTGCCAAGTCTGAAATACTTTACCTTGAAATTTTACGCTCCGGTTTTTTTTCTGTGTATTTTAGACGCAGATGGAAGGCTAAATCAATGATCTTTTTAAGTTTAGGTGTTAGTCAAATCACGTGTTTGTTTAGTTTTAGTTGCATATCAAATTACCTCACAATCTCTTTGGAAATAAACGGATCATAAACGGACACAGACGCTCGTTTGGAGATGATTTGTGGCACGGTTATTTGAGCGGAAAGTGCACTGCTGTCGACTTTATCCATGTGATTTTGCCTATTGCACTTTTTTTTTTCCACCATCATAGTACCTGTCCATTCTAGTTATTTATGCAAACAGGAATTATTCTTAACCGTGACTGGCTCAGATTGTCTTATTCATGATATTTCTCTATTATTTCTATTCACCTCACTTATGCAATGTCAGAGTGTGTTATTAAGCACGATCACAAAACCAAATTTGATCCCTTTATTTCAGAAATGGAATGAGCACATGTATCCGCACATATTCAAACATAATATTTCATGCGTTCATGTAACAAAATACCTGAGTAACTTGACCTGATTAATCTGAAATAAGACACTACAGACAGATTATAGTCAAACATTGTGTCATATTTTGTGACATTCACGTGTTAACACCTGTTTCAGTAGTTCTGTTCTGTCAAAAATGCTTAAACAATATGACTGTCTTAAATCATCATCAACATAAAAGTAACTAAATCAGTCAATCGAGCTGTGATGTTTGGAGGCAGTAAGTGTTATTTTTACTCCAGTGATATTTTTGCATTGCTACAGATCCATCTTCTTCTTGACAGACAGATCAGAGAAGCGTCTTGAGTTCGTTTTTTTTCCTGCAAATTCATAATTGTTTCAAACTATTCAACAGCAGGACAGCAGTGATATTATCAGTAATGAGCAATGATCTTACTCTCCTTGTTTTCCCGGAGTCTTGTTTAGTAGCGATGAAGACGAGGACGTGCGTGTGTCCATGTGAGTAACAAATGGAACCTAGAATGGATTATTTTTCTTAATTTACCAATAAAGGCGGTTTAATGAATTGCATTCTTCTGACTCATCGTTGCTCTGTACTGATCCAGCTCTGTCCTTCAGCGCGGCAGCAGACGGGAGATCACACTGAAGGGACAGCACCCAGTGAATGAACTATTCATTTTTTATACTTTTACTAAATATATCTTTTATTTTTTAATTACATTTGAGTCAACTGTGTTATTAGGACAAGTGTTTTTGTACCAGCAGCACTGTTAAATATAACTACAAAAAGTACTGTGGTGGTTGATATTGCTATAGTTCTGTATTAATCTAGGTTAAATACGAACAAAGTCATTCATTGTCATAAACGGTACAAGACTAAGGTCAGTGTAAGACATTTAGAACTGACTTTGTGCAGTCAGAGGGTCATTGACTCTTAAACCAAAAATATACCCTCTTAAAATTTACTTTTAAAACAACATTAATATGCGATCATAAAGACAGATTAATACGGAAGCCGAGAGGGGTCACAACAAACGCAAACGCCGCAACAAATACAAATGCGACAACACAACAAAAAGCCACAACACACCAAAAAAAGCCACAACGCAAATGACCGCGGGGACTCTTATTTTAATGCAAACGCCACAACACAAACGCAAATGCCGCAACACATCAAAAAGCCACAACACATCAAAAAGCCACATCAAAAAGCCACATCAAAAAACAACACAAAAACCACATCAAAAAGCCGCACAACACATTAAAAAGCCACAACACATTAAAAAGCCACAACACATCAAAAAGCCACAACGCCACAACACATTAAAAAACACAACACATCAAAAAACACACAACACATCAAAAAGCCACAACACATTAAAAAAACACAACACAACACATCAAAAAACACAGCCACAACACATCAAAAAGCCACAACACATCAAAAAGCCACAACACATCAAAAAGCCACAACACATCAAAAAGCCACAACACATTCAAAAAACACAACACATCAAAAACACACACACAAAAAAAACACAACACATCAAAAAGCCACAACACATCAAAAAGCCACAACACATCAAAAAGCCACAACACATCAAAAAAGCCACAACACATCACACAACACATCAAAAAAAAGCCACAACACACATCAAAAAGCCACAACACATCATCAAAAAGCACACACCACAACACATCAAAGCCACAACACATCAAAAAGCCACAACGCCGCGGGACTCTATTTTCCGACGGACCGATCGAGCAGCAAGTGAAGAAGAACTACAACGAGAAAAGTAAAGGAACGGAGAAGTTGGAAACGTAAGTAAAAGTGATTTATTGTTTTATCATTATTCGTTTCACATTGTAGTTCTTCTTCTTTTAATGTGTTGTGGCTTTTTAATGTGTTGTGGCATTTGCGTTTGTATTTTGGCGTTTGTATTTGTTGCGGCGTTTGCATTAAAATAAAGTCCCGCGGTCATTTCTGTTGTGGCTTTTTTTGGTGTGTTGTGGCTTTTTGTTGTGTTGTCGCATTTGTATTTGTCGCGGCGTTTGCGTTTCTTGTGACCCCTCTCGACTTCTGTAGATTAAAGTAGTTTGAGACATAGTATACATTTAGTATGAGAATCCACCCACCCCATTGACGACAAGTGCCGTCCACGAACATCAAGCTTACCTTGTGATTTTGCTGATATTTTGAGATGACACTTTCATATTTGAGGAAGGTTCTGTTCTTTTCTCTGTTACAATGCCGCTGTTGTTGCTTCTATGAAAACTAATCACACAGACAAAGCTGAAAAAACGATCCAGAGAGAAGCCGCGGTGCAATACTAACCAGAAACAAGTCACTCAAGAGCAGTTTTACAACCGGAACTAAAACAAGGTTATTACACCTTTCTACCATCATGGAGACCAAACCAAACCAAGTTACAGGCCAGATCTGTGAAGAGGCGACGCCGCTTACAGTCAGAATGCCTGTTTTCCTGTTTTTTGAGCTATAAAACCACCTGTAATGTGTTAAATGTAAAGTTTAACAGAGCTGTTTAATGTCATACTGTGGATCATTCCAGGAAAAACATAACATCTCCATGGACACAAGCAAGACAAAACCCTGCACCAGAAAAGTTGCGCAATGCACCTTTAATATGAGTACATTTCACATGATAAATAAAATTATCTAC